GGGGTTCCCCCTAAGATGGCAAACCCTCTTCCCCAAAGGAGTACTTCCAGGGGCAAGGGAAGGGACTTCTGGTGGCAAAGGTCAGAGGTTAAGGAGGTGGGACATCCGGTCCCAAGATGGCAACCAGGGGGGTGGGGCACCTGTCAAGGGGTGGGGCTACGAATGTGGCCCTCAACAGATTGCCAAAATTCGGTAAGCAGCTCTCTGCCCAAAATAATTGCCCACCCCGACATAGCTGCTTACATCAGTACAAATTAGGCATCTCTTTGATGGGCCAGCATCTTCCACCAACTTTTCACTTCATACACTTCCCTCTGGAAATTGGATTCCTGGGGTCCTGTAGGTAACAGTCCTGTTGGGGTGCAGTTTGGTGGTACAGACAGCCCTCTCTGGTCACATGTTTAGCTCCCAAATGGTGTGACCCTATACTACCTCCCTAGACTTGAGTCCCACTGAAGACAAGGGGAGTTCTACATAGTGGCTATCCAGCCCAAGCCCCCTCTGAATGCTCATTCCAACAAATTGCAAATTGTGTATGTTCCAAAACAACAATTGCACAAATCCCTTGCTTATCCAGAGGGTCAAGACTAAAAATAGGCAAGGAACATAGGACCCAAATGCTTCCCTTTCCCTTGCAGTGATCCAGCTAGCACATGGACAACTCCTTACCTTCTGAAAGTCACACCAAGGGTGTCTGCAGACAGCAGGTTCACAGGTGACAATATTACTATGGCAACTGCAGTCTTGGCAAGAATCTGGCTTCCAAATTGTGTTGTTCTGCAAACAAGAATAAGCCTTGAATTAAACTAGTATAAAGAGTAAGATGTGTGCAAAGTTATGTAATGAGAATCCATTCAAATGAATTAAACAAGCACGAAGTAGAAAGGCAAACTCCACAAAAGATGCTGTCCTCTGAATACTAATCAGTGCCCTCGACAGTAATAAAATTGGCATTTTTATGATCTTGAACTCTCAATGAAAAGATGAGGGCATGCTCAGAAATGCAAGCAATTCCAGCAGCAAGACAACTGATTGTGCATAAGCTTCAACAGCCCCAAAGTAATTACAGATCTCTCTCTGAAACTTCTTGCCCTCTGTAAACAAATTTAGGCAGAGAGTACATCTCCACTACAGTCACTGCTGATTTGGGTACCTCCAGCATCCAGCCAAAGCAGTGCATAGTTCAGGGCAGGCTGTAAATCCTCTATGCCCCCTGGGGCAGCTGGGTGAATACTGCAGCAGCTAGCCTGAGCTGAACTGATGCTGTGACTACATAACTACATGTTTGAGATGCGAGAGCTGGATTGTTTAAAGCTGGCTTGGGGATGTCTACACAAGCTGCAGTCACAGCAGTAGCTGCAACGTAGACACACCTGGATAGTTTCAAAGCAGCCTTGAGCATTCAACCCCTTCAACCATCACTGATTGTTTGCAAACTACATATTTGCTCTGACTTGCTATTATCACTAGCTACAGTTTGAAGTTTATACCAGTACTGTCATCCATGCCACATACAGTTTCCACAGATTTCCTGAGGTTAAGCCAAGAGGTCAAGTCATCAAGACCCTGCTTTTCAGAATTGATGAGCATCTGCAGCATTCACTGACTCCAAAGGCAGCTGTGATTGCTCAACAGCTCTGAAAAGCAGGCCCTAAATCCTGCATGGAAGGGATAAAAAGGACATCCAGAAAACTCAATCCGCTCCAGAGGAGTAATTTAAGGTGTCCATGGAGGAGGCACAAGTGAGAGTCTAAAGTCATAGGCATAATTTAGCACACTTAGGGCTCAATTCTGATCCTATGTAGGTTTTGCCCTGGTTTAATTTCAAGTAACTTCAAAATTGGTCAGTCCCTTATGTTTCCATGAAGCCAACATTGTGTCAACCCCCTTTTCCAATTCTAACAAAATCTGGCCTCATATGTGAAGATGGCATTTTTGTGAGGAAGCAGATTCTGTGCGCAGGCAAGTACAGCTTGTGTTACTGCAAAGGTTTGGGCCAGAAACTCACTGAGACAGCTTATATGCTTTCTATTTTAGAGATCATTTAAATAACCCTAAGGGCAGACTGCAGAAGGCATAAAGCAAGTGTAGGCATAATACACATTCACTTTATTGCTCTCTGATGCTGCTCCAATGATGTAAAGAGACAAAGTCTAAATGAGAAACGCACTGTGTGTTCAATAGGAGAGAAACCAGAAGAGGAGTCTGTACTCTATATGGTTCTGAAGCAAGCTTAGAATGACAGTCCCAAAGCTAACTTTTGCTCAGTTTACCTATGTAGCCCCATTGATTTTAGGGAGATTAATTTAGCCCAAGTGGGGTTGGCAATGTGTTGTAGAGAGGCTTACTGGTCAAAACACAGGATCCATGGTACATCTTTGTCTCAGAGTTCACTTTTCTTATCTGAACTGAATTCCTCCACAGCTGACAATCCAGCCATGGCAACCAATGTTCCTTTTCTGGTCATTTTATTTAAAATGAGTAGCTTCATAGGCATGTGGAAAGCAGCAGAGGGGGAGGGTGATTAATATAATTGCTGTGGGTTTATGTTCAATTCATATTTAATTACTGCTTATTTTTAAACATTTGGTTAATTCTAAATAAAGAAGGGAGAAAAGGCAATGACTTCCTCATCTGATAATTGCTTTTTATGAGCCAACTAATGCGTACACACCAAGCTGCCTTTATTGCTGCACAGGCTGCAGAAGGAACATCTCTGGAAAAGCAAAGTTAAATCTCATTCTAAGTGGAGTTGAAATACATTCAAGTTCTGGCACCCACTCTGTGACTTCAATGAATCTGAAGCACTCACAGACTATAAGGTACTCAGTGCATACAAAAGGGTGTAACTGTGATGCCTCATTTGCTAGTTTGGGCCTAGTTGGCCAAGCTATTCTGAACACTGGAAAGCATTAACTGTCTCACTGGGCCATTTAAATACATAAAAGGGAGCAGTTATTGAGTTAAGTGGGAGCTGCTGGGCGCTGAGCTCTTTAAAATCTGGTGTGCTAAGTGTTCAGAACCTACTGATCCAGTATGAATGAGAGCAACAAAGAGTTCGTTCCCAGACAAGCCCTGAGGCTTATGAGTATGAGGGATATGGGGCATTACTGCATACTCTCCTCCACTTCCCTTCTCTCTCTTTCTCCAGCTTCCAGCCAGAAAGCATTTTGCAGAACAAACATTACCTCTGCTCCACAACCCGCTTTCGGCCTTCTCAATCTCTCTATGTTAAAATTCAAAGTGCTCCGTCATTTGATTGCATGGAGTTAGGTTTTACCTTGCTGCTTGTCCGGTGTATAGGGGAGCATGATGGCCTTAGAGCAGTGGCTCTCAACCTTTTTTAGATTTGAGCATAGGCGACTGGTAGGGGATGCATGGGGGTGCACGTGCCCCCCAATGGGGCTAGTGCCCCCCCTGACAGGGCCACCACCATCGGTGGCTTCTGCGGGTGTCCCCCCAGATTCAGGAGGCACCAGTCACTCATGGATTTGAGGCACCCCTTGTTAGGCTCAAGGCACCCCTTAGAAAATGACAACTCTTAGTTGGAGTAAGGAAAAATACTAGATCAAATTCTTCTGTTACAAAGACTGGAGAAAGGCCACAACAGGTCAGAATGCTTTTCAAACTGTGGATTCCTATTTGAAATCCCTAGGTTAATCTCGTGTTAGCACACCTAACCGCATTAACAGTGTGTGGCACCCAGCAAGATGCTTGAAAGGATCTCAATGCATCCAGTTTAGAATCACTTCTTAAAGGCATGATTCCCTCATAGCCATTCCCTTATTCCTGGGGTATGGCAGCTTGCTACTGCCCAATACCAATACTAAATTACATCCCCCCACCACAGTGAATCAGCTGTGCCAACTGGCATATGGGCCAAAGCTTTTCCTACCCTCTTATAACATATTCTACAATCGAAAATTGCAGTTATGTAGCACCATTACACCATAGGCCCAACTGCTAGGGTCTAATCCCTGTTATGCCCCTAGACAGTCTGAGCCACAATTTAGCTCCTGATTTCCCACCATGCTACTACCAGTAACTAGGCATCAAGCTAACTTAATGGACAGCTGGACTCAGGACCAACAGAAGAGAATGCTACACAGAGCAATAGCTTTAATTAAGAACATATTTATTTTCCTTTTTCCCTTGAAATCAGCTCCATTGTGGGGCAGCATATTAACTGTGTTCTGTACTAGTATCCCATTGCAAAATAACTCTCTGTGAGGGAAGAAGCTAGACTGCAGAGGGGGACAAACTCAGAAACAATCTGAGCTGCTACCAGCCATGCTGCTCCTAAAGCCTTGAGTTTACCAATATGAAACAGTATCACTTTTGCATCTACCCTTCCCCTTTGTATGGGGCCAGGATAGCATGTTAACAAAAGAACGCCCAGGCTCCTGAGAACACAAGGCAATTCAATGCCATAGGTGGACACTTGGATAAAGCCAATGACTATTAATGCCCAAGACAGCAACAGATTGGCATAAATTTATAGCCCCAATGTCCCTGAAAAAAATTATATCAAAGAAAGCAGTCATTTTTTCCTTTGATGATATAACTGGTCTCAATACATGGCACTGTGGTAACAAAGCAGCAGGTAGCAAGCAGCCTGGAAACTGTCTTTACTGGGTAATTTACTGTATAGTTACAGAATCAATTGAGAGCAAGTGATATGGGTGTCCGGCTCTCCCTCACACTTGCACTATAGTTAATTCATTTCTGCTCTATTTTAGCTTTACTATATCACACATTACTAAGATGCCTGGCACCACAATGGTACCCAGGACCCCAGATATCTTTCCCCTGGAAAAAGTGACAGTTTGTTTGTTTGCTGAAATATTTGGATTTATCTATTGATTTGTTCATTCACTTGCTCATTCCAGTTGATGGGGGAGAGGTCTGAGACAGGAAGGAAATCAATCCAAGGAGAACAGAGCAACACAGGAACTGAAAGGCACTTAGGTAGATTTTTAACTGCTATTGAGCATGTTGCAGTGATGCCTGATGTTGCCAAGACAGACATACACCACAATGTAAGTGTTGGATATGCAGCTCTGGGAAGGGAGAAGATTTAGGGATGGTCATTTCACACATTTGAATCACTTCTGGGTGTAAGTGTGCTGCACAAAAGGAGAAATATACTTATGAGCCTCCCCTGAATTACCTTATTCTCTCCGCTACCTGCCTTTTGGAAGCAAGGAACATGCTCTGAGATGGAACATTTAGCAAGCGTCTGCAACCCAGCAGTGAGGAAGATGCAGGTGGGTCTTTACGTGTGCCTGGAAACTGATTACATTCAGCAGCCCTGTGCATAGGACTCCAATCCTGCAATGAGGTTTACGTGGTAACAGCTCAGTGTCCAATTGAGCACAGCTCTCTGTACAGCTTTTTTTAAATACCGTTTTCAACGATCCCTCTGTGGGCCAACCACAGGACGCTGGGCTGGCTCCTATCTGTTTGCCTGGTATGCTTCTCCTAAAAACAGATTTCATGCTCAGGTTTCTAAACAGGTCTCAACCTAGACTCTTACTTTGTTCCTTCATTTATCTGTACCTGCAGAATGATTTGCATGTGTGTACTGGCAGGCACAACATTGCACATGCTATTTTGAAACCTGGTTTTCTAAATAGACCCCTGAAAAATAACTTTGGCTAAAATAGCAGACCTAGGCACCTCAAACTAGACTTCAGAATCAATAGCTAGTCACCTGTATCAATATGGTCTGATTTTTTAGAGGTGCTCACCACCCATAGCTTTCACAGATTTTAGTG